ACTCTAACAAAACTCTCAAAATTTCATTATAAATGGCAGTTCCTAATTGGTTCTGTCATTAAAATCACCAATAATGAAATAATAATTAAATTGAAAGTTTTGTTAGAGTTCTGAAATTTTCACCACCAGAACTTTAGTTTTGTAAGTACTTTAGAACCATTTAGAACCATGGATTGCCCAAGCCTAGTTGGAAACCCACTCCAACCCGGGCTGGCTTCGAACTCATTTTGGTCAGAGTGATCTTAATGCAGCTGACACTCAGCCAGCTGCGCCACAATCCCGGTGCTAAGGTCAGATTTGGTGAGTGATTGCCTTTCACAGAATCACAGGAGGGGTGGGACCCCAAAGATCGTCTAGTCCAGCCCCATGTTGCAATGTGGGATGACACAATCCAAGCCCTCCCGGCAGATGATGTCCAAAGTATGAATTAGATTGACAAAGAAGCAAAGAGCTGTTTACAGCGAAAAGACTAGCCTTACGATCCTGGACTCTCCTCCTTTAAGGGTGTGTGTAAACCAGGCATGGGCAAACTTGGGCCATCCAGGTGTTTGGACTTGCAATGTCAAGAGGAAGGTACATCAAACCAACACTGACTGGGACTGCCTTCAATTTGGAAATTGATGTCCTCATGGTGAAAGAACAGGCAGATCAAGAATCGGGCTTCACAGCCACCTACAGACTCACTGAGTATGATGGAAGGCCATCATACTCAGACAACAAGGGATCGCCTAAAAGAGAAGAGAGGTGTCTTGATTCAGCCTGACATGCAACAAAAATATTATTGCAATAACAACTACATACAGTAGAGTCTTGCTTATTCAACATAAGTGGGCTGGCAGAACGTTGGATAAGCAAAAATGTTGGATAATAAGGACTTGGACTTAGGTGATCCCTCGTTGCCTGAGTAGGATTGTTTTCCAAGATCGGTGTCCTGGTGGTGGGTCCGTAGGTGACTGTGGAGCCCTATTCTTGATCTGCATGTTCTCCCACAATGAGGGCATCGGTTTCCAGGTAGAAGGCAGTCCCGGTTGGTTGGCTTGACGCGCCTTCCTCTGGCACGTTTCTCTCTTTCACCCTCCATTTGTGCCTCTTCAAATTCTGCAGCACTGCTGGTCACAGCTGACCTCCAGCTGGAGTGCTCAAGGGACAGGGCTTCCCAGTTCTCAGTGTCTATGCCAGAGTTTTTAAGGTTGGCTTTGAGCCCATCTTTAAATCTCTTTTCCTGCCCACCAACATTCCATTTTCCATTCTTGAGTTCGGAGTAGAGCAACTGCTTTGGGAGACGGTGGTCGGGCATCCGGACAACATCGCTGGTCCAGCGGAGTTGATGGTGGAGGACAATTGCTTCAATGCTGGTGGTCTTCTTCGAGCAACTGCTTTGGAAGACGGTGGTCGGGCATCTAGACAACGTAGCCAGTCCAGGGGAGTTGATGGCGGAGGACCATTGCTTCAGTGCTGGTGGTCTTTGCTTCTTCCAGCACGCTGATTTGCCCGCTTGTCTTCCCAAGAGATTTGCAGGATTTTTCGGAGGCAGCACTGATGGAATCATTCCAGGAGTTGCATGTGACGTCTGTAGACAGTCCACGTCTCGCAGGCGTAGAGCAGGGTTAGGAGGACCATCGCTTCAATGCTGGTGGTCTTTGCTTCTTCCAGCACGCTGGCATTTGCCCGCTTGTCTTTCCAAGAGATTTGCAGGATTTTTCGGAGGCAGCACTGATGGAATCATTCCAGGAGTTGCATGTGACGTCTGTAGACAGTCCACGTCTCGCAGGCGTAGAGCAGGGTTAGGAGGACCATCGCTTCAATGCTGGTGGTCTTTGCTTCTTCCAGCACGCTGGCATTTGCCTGCTTGTTTTCCCAAGAGATTTGCAGGATTTTTCGGAGGCAGCACTGATGGAATCATTCCAGGAGTTGCATGTGACGTCTGTAGACAGTCCACGTCTCGCAGGCGTAGAGCAGGGTTAGGAGGACCATCGCTTCAATGCTGGTGGTCTTTGCTTCTTCCAGCACGCTGGCATTTGTCTGCCTGTCTTCCCAAGAGATTTGCAGGATTTTTCGGAGGCAGCACTGATGGAATCATTCCAGGAGTTGCATGTGACGTCTGTAGACAGTCCACGTTTCGCAGGCGTATAGCAGGCTTGGGAGGACAATAGCTTTATAAACAAGCACTTGGTTTCTTCCAGCACGCTGACATTTGTCCTCCTGTCTTCCCAAGAGATTTGCAGGATTTTCCGGAGGCAGCACTGAAGGAATCATTCCAGGAGTTGCATGTGACATCTGTAGACAGTCCACGTCTCACAGGCATATAGCAGGGTTGGGAGGAACACTTCAATGCTGGTGGTCTTTGCTTCTTCCAGCACGCTGGCATTTGCCCGCTTGTCTTTCCAAGAGATTTGCAGGATTTTTCGGAGGCAGCACTGATGGAATCATTCCAGGAGTTGCATGTGATGTCTGTAGACAGTCCACGTCTCGCAGGCGTAGAGCAGGGTTAGGAGGACCATCACTGCAATGATGGTGGTCTCTGCTTCTTCCAGCACAATGGCATTTGCCCGCTTGTTTTCCCAAGAGATTTGCAGGATTTTTCGGAGGCAGCGCTGATGGACTCGTTCCAGGAGTTGAGTGTGACATCTGTAGACAATTCCCGTCTCGCAGGCGTAGAGCAGGGTTAACAGGACCATCGCTTCAATGCTGGTGGTCTTTGCTTCTTATAGCACGCTGTCGATGTTGACTTTGGTGGAGAGGTGGCTGCCAAGGGAGCGGAAATGGTCCACATTTTCTAATGTTACACCATTAAGTCTGCAGGCGTTAGAGCAGGGGTGAACAGCTGCCATCGCTTCAAGCTGGTGGTCTTTGCTTGTATATCGGTGTCGATGTTGACTTTGGGAGAGGTGGCTGCCAAGGGAGCGGAAATGGTCCACATTTTCTAATGTTACACCATTAAGCTGTATTTCTGGCATTGGGGAGGGATTGGCCGGTGAACAACAACAACCACCACCACCACTAAATATAGTTCCTACTCATTGGTTCAGAGCCAGGCCTGACCCGCAGTCTTTCCAAGCAACTATTACAAGGCTGTTTTGGGATAAACCTATTAAGACAATAGATTACCATCAGAGCCGACATAATGAGCTATGTTTAGCTCCAATAGGATGTGTTATATATAAACACACAACATATGTGGAAACAAAGACGCATTCAACCGCAGGCTCAATGGAATGATGCCCTCCCTGTTTGCTGCTTTTGTTTCTGTGTTATACAAAATAAAAAACTTATTTATGTTGTCCCTAAAACTCAGGACAAACAGGTATTGACACTCTTTGCAAAACTGAAGTGTGGGCTCCTTGATTCCAGGACTGCTGAGAAAAGAAAAATAACAAGGGAGGAAATGATTGAAAAGGGAGATGTGGTCATTTCTCGAAATGGAAAATTCCCAGCTTGGCCCTAATCCTAGAATGGGGATTGCACTCTGTGTCACGCGTGACCATGTGTTTCCATGACCAAGCCAGAATTCGAACCCTAGTCTCCAGTGATGTAGTCCAGAGCTCAAACCACTACACAACACTCTGTCTTTCTCTATACACATACATACATATCTATGTATCATTTATATCTATTTACACACCAATCTATCATCTATCTAACTAAACATAGATAACACCTATCTATACATACACACACACACATTTATCAATCTGTCAATCAAGAGGAAACAAACAAGGACATCTAATCACCTCTCAACAAAAGCTTGCTCCAGGCACTGTCAGGCCATTATATGCTAATCAAGGTGGTCAGTTGAAACAGTCACACCTAGCACCAGCAGACAATGTATGTATATGTATATCTGTATAATAATATATATGTACACATACACCTCTATGAATACACCTATCTCCCTACCTACACACCCACCTACACACAACACCGAAATACAACACCACCTGAGCTCTGCAAGCACAGCATTTTTCCGAATGAAGCAGAGAGTGTTTGAGGACCGGGACATCCGTAGGGATACCAAGGTGCTTGTTTATAAAGCTATTGTCCTCCCAACCCTGCTCTATGCCTGTGAGATGTGGACTGGCTACAGACGTCACATGCAACTCCTGGAACGATTCCATCAGTGCTGCCTCCGGAAAATCCTGCAAATCTCTTGGGAAGACAAGGACAAATGTCAGCGTGCTGGAAGAAGCAAAGACCACCAGCACTGAAGCGAATGTCCTCTGCCATCAACTCCACTGGACCGGCCATGTTGTCTGGATGCCCGACCACCACCTCCCAAAGCAGTTGCTCTACTCTGAACTCAAGAAGGGAAAACAGAATGTTGGAGGACAGGAAAAGAGATTTAAAGATGGGGTTAAAGCCAACCTTAAAAACTCTGGCATAGACACTGAGAACTGGGAAGCCCTGGCCCTTGAGCTCCAGCTGGAGGTCAGCTGTGACCAGCAGTGCTGCAGAATTTGAAGAGGCATGAATGGAGGGTGAAAGAGAGAAACGTGCCAAGAGGAAGGCGTGTCAAGCCAACCCCGACCAAGACTGCCTTCCACCTGGAAACCAATGCCCTCACCGCGGGAGAAGATGCAGGTCAAGAATCGGGCTCCACAGCCACATACGGACCCAGAAGACAATCATCCTCGGAAAGCGAGGGATCGTCTAAGTAAGTAAGTAAGTAATTAACACCCACCTAAACTCTATCTACATACATCTAAGTATGATTGACTCACATCCGTACACACTTATCAGTCATTGATCTATCTATCTATCTATCTATCTATCGAATAATATTTATATACACATACACCTCTATGTACACACCTATCTCTCTACCTACACACACATCTATACTCTTATCTATACACTTCTAAGTATAATTTACCTACATCCATGCACAGCTATCAATCCTCCATCTAGATATCCAATAATATTTATGTACAGGTACACAACACATCTATGTACACACCTCCCTTTCTCCCTACCTACACACCCACCTATACTCTTCTCTATAGAAGCCCCTCCTTAAAGGCACAGGCACCCTTTTAATCCAGGCAGGGCTGGCTCTGCTCCCAAGCGGGCCCTCCTCCGACCTGAACCTCCTCCCAGGCGCCGGGGATCCCTTTCTGACGCTCGCCCTCCTCCTGGCGACACGCGTTAAGCAGCTCCTGCTGCATTCACACGTTACGCGCCTCCATTCCCGGGTCAGGAGGTCTCGCGCCGCCTCCTTCACGCCCCCCTCCTTTGGGACCTCCCTTTGCACGTGTTTCCTTCCCTCCCGGGGAGCGGTCCGCGCTCAGTTGGGTCCAGGAGGAGGGCGACACGCGTGTACACAGCCATGTCTGCCGACCCGGGTCGTGCGAACGGCGTTCCTGGGGTTCCTCCCAGCGAATCGGACCCCCTGCGCCGCCGGAGGTACACGCAGGACAATTTCGGTGAGTGTTTACACTCGTGCAAGGGTTTTGCACGTGTGAATGGGGATGAGATGCGTGTTCTGGGCTTTGTATGGTTTTCCCCCCCTATCCCTACATAATTCAATATCCTCTCATTCACAATAGGCTCTTTTCCACCCCTTTGCATGCATTTTTATATTAAAATAGACACGTGTCAATTTCTGCACGTGTGAATGGGGTTGAGATGCGTGTTCTGGGCTTTGTATGGTTTTCCCCCCCTATCCCTACATAATTCAATATCCTCTCATTCACAATAGGCTCTTTTCCACCCCTTTGCATGCATTTTTATATTAAAATAGACACGTGTCAATTTCTGCATGTGTGAATGGGGTTGAGATGCGTGTTCTGAGATTAGTATGGGTTTTTTCTATCCCTACATAATTTTTCCATCATGTTTTCAATATCCTCCCATTCACAATGGACTTTTTTCCACCCCTCTGCATGCATTTCTAGTATCAAAATAGACACGTGTCAATTTTCTGCACGTGTGAATGGGGCTAAGATGCGTGTTCTGGGCTTAGTATGGTTTTTTCCTATCCCTACATAATTTTTCCACCGTGTTTTCAATATCATTCCATTCACAATGGACTTTTTTCCACCCCTCTGCATGCATTTCTAGTATCAAAATAGACACGTGTCAAATTTCTGCACGTGTGAATGGGACTGAGATTCGTGTACTGGGCTTAGTATGGTTTTTTCCCCTCCCCACATAATTTTTCCATCATGCTTTCAATATCATTCCATTCACAGTGGACTTTTTTCCACCCTTCTGCATGCATTTCTAGTATCAAAATAGACACGTGTCTATTTCTGCACGTGTGAATGGGGCTGAGATGCGTGTTCTGGGCTTAGTTTGGGTTTTTTCCTATCCCTACATAATTTTTCCATCATGCTTTCAATATCCTCCCATTCACAATGGACTTTTTTCCACCCCTCTGCATGCATTTCTAGTATCAAAATAGACACGTGTCAATTTTCTGCACATGTGAATAGGTTTGAGATGCGTGTTCTGGGCTTAGTATGGTTTTTTCCTATCTCTACGTAATTTTTCCATCATGTTTTCAATATCATTCCATTCACAATGGACTTTTTTCCACCCCTCTGCATGCATTTCTAGTATCAAAATAGACACGTGTCAAATTTCTGCATGTGTGAATGGGGTAGAGATGCGTGTTCTGGGCTTGGTATGTTTTTTTTCCTATCCCTACACAAATTTTCCACCGTGTTTTCAATATCTTTCCATTCACAATGGGCTTCTTTTCCACCCCTCTGCATGTATTATTGATATTAACACCCCTCTACATGCATTTATGATACTAAAATAGACACGTGTCAACTTCTGCACGTGTAAATGGGGCTGAGATGCGTGTTCTGGACTTAGTATGTTTTTTTCCTATCCCTACATAATTTTTCCATCATGTTTTCAATATCCTCCCGTTCACAATGGACTTTTTTCCCTCTGCATGCATTTCTAGTATCAAAATAGACACGTGTCAAATTTCTGCACGTGTGAATGGGGTTGAGATGCGTGTTCTGGGCTTAGTATACCTACATAATTTTTCCACCGTGTTTTCAATATCCTCCCATTCACAATGGACCTTTTTCCACCCCTCTGCATGCATTTCTGATACTCACATCCATGTTACAAAGTGTTCCTTGCATTAGGTATCATTTCCTTCCTTCTACGCGCATCTTCCTAACATGTAACGTGTGAACGTGGCACTTTGTTGCTTTTTCGCCATTTTCCTAAATGTTGATGAAGTAGATTAAGAGATGGACATGGGATGGAGTGCAGAGTAAACTCAGAAAGGTCTCAATCTTGCAACGAATGTTGGGTCAAGCAGGACGTAAACAACAACAACAACAATATAAGGCACATAAGAAATATTAATGAGATTTGGGTCCCATCTCACAAGATTTATCATTTTTTGTCCAATCAAGCGATCAATCTTCTTCTTCGACAATCCCTTGTAGCTCGAGGATGATGGTCCTCCAAGTCCAGTGTCTTGGTGGTAGGTCCATAAGTGACCGTGGAGTCCTATTCTTGACACGCATGTTCTCCCGCAGTGAGGACATCGGTTTCCAGATGGAAGGCAGTCCTGATCAGGGTTGACTTGACACAACTTCCTCTTGGCACGTTTCTCCCTTTCACCCTCCATTCGTGCCTCTTCGAATTCTGCAGCACTGCTGGTCACAGCTGACCTCCAGTTAGAGCTCTCAAGGGCCAGGGCTTCCCAGTTCTCAGTGTCTATGCCAGAGTTTTTAAGGTTGGCTTTGAGCCCATCTTTAAATCTCTTTTCCTGTCCTCCAACATTCTGTTTTCCGTTCTTGAGTTCGGAGTAGAGCAACTGCTTTGGGATATGGTGGTCGGGCATCCGGACAACGTGGCTGGTCCAGAGGAGTTGATGGTGGAGGACCATCGCTTCAATGCTGGTGGTCTTTATTCTTCCAACACGCTGATATTTCCCCGCCTGTTTTCCCAAGAGATTTGCAGGATTTTTCAGAGGCAACACTGATGTAATCGTTCTAGGAGTTGAGTGTGACGTCTGTAGACAGTCCACGTTTCACAGGCATAGAACAAGGTTGGGAGGACAATAGCTTTATTGACAATACCCTTGGTCTCCCTACGGATGTGTGTATATATAATATTTATATACACATACACATCTGTGTACACACACCTATCTCCCTACCTGCACACTCACCTATACTAATTCCACATATCTATTACTTACCTACATCCATGAACACCTATCCATCCATCCTCCCTCTCCCTCCCCCCGTGTGTGTGTTTGTGTGTGTGTGTGTGTATAATATTTATGTACACGTACACACACCTATCTCCCTACCTACACACCTGACATTTGTCCGACTCTCTTCCCAAGAGATTTGCAGGATTTTTCGGAGGCAACGCTGATGAAATCTTTCCAGGAGTTGCATGTGCATCTGTAGACAGTCCACGTTTCGCAGGCATAGAACAAGGTTGGGAGGACAATAGCTTTATTGACAATACCCTTGGTCTCCCTACGGATGTGTGTATATATAATATTTATATACACATACACATCTGTGTACACACACCTATCTCCCTACCTGCACACTCACCTATACTAATTCCACATATCTATTACTTACCTACATCCATGAACACCTATCCATCCATCCTCCCTCTCCCTCCCCCCCGTGTGTGTGTTTGTGTATAATATTTATGTACACGTACACACACCTATCTCCCTACCTACACACCTGACATTTGTCCGCCTCTCTTCCCAAGAGATTTGCATGATTTTTCGGAGGCAACGCTGATGGAATCGTTCCAGGAGTTGAGTGTGACATCTGTAGACAGTCCACGTTTTGCAGGCATATAGCAGGGTTGGGAGGACAATGGCTTTATAAACAAGCAGCTTGGTATCCCTACGGATGTCCCGGTCCTCAAACACTCTCTGCTTCATTCAGAAGATTGTTGCACTCGCAGAGCTCAGGCGGTGTTGTATTTCGGTGTTGATGTTGACTTTTGTGGAGACAACACACAACAACAACAATATAAGGTATTTTTATGTTCACATACACTTTTATGTGCATACCTATCTCCCTACATACACACCCTATGCAGGTGAGAAGAGTGGGGTAGAAATGCTGTAAATAAATGTAAATAAATAAATACACATCTACACACATCTAAGTATGATTTACCTACATCCATGCACACCTATCAGTCATTGATCTATCTATTTATCTATCTATCTATCTATTGAATAATATTTATGTACACATCTGTGTACACACGCCTATCTCCCTACCTGCACACTCACCTATACTAATTCCACATATCTATTACTTACCTACATCCATGAACACCTATCCATCCATCCTCCCTCCCCCTCTGTGTGTGTGTGTGTGTGTAATATTTATGTACACATACACATCTGTGCACATACACCTATTTCCCTACCTGTGCAGTCACCTATACTAATTCCACATATCTATTACTTACCTACATCCATGAACACCTATCCATCCATCCTCCCTCCCTCCCCCTCTGTGTGTGTTTGTGTGTGTGTATAATATTTATGTACATATACACATCTGTGTACACACACCTATCTCCCTACCTGCACACTCACCTATACTAACTCCACATATCTATTACTTACCTACATCCATGAACACCTATCCATCCATCCTCCCTCCCCCCCCTGTGTGTGTTTGTGTGTGTGTATAATATTTATGTACATATACACATCTGTGTACACACACCTATCTCCCTACCTGCACACTCACCTATACTAACTCCACATATCTATTACTTACCTACATCCATGAACACCTATCCATCCATCCTCCCTCCCTCCCTCCCTCTTTGTGTATGTGTGTGTGTGTGTATATAATATTTATGTACACATACACATCTGTGTACACACACCTATCTCCCTACCTGCACACTCACCTATACTAACTCCACATATCTATTACTTACCTACATCCATGAACACCTATCCATCCATCCTCCCCCCACTCTGTGTGTGTGTGTAATAATTATGTACACATACACATCTGTGTACACACCCTATCTTCCTACCTGTGCACTCACCTATACTAACTCCACATATCTATTACTTACCTACATCCATGAACACGTATCCATTCATCCTCCCTCCCTCCCCCCTGTGTGTGTGTGTAATATTTATGTACACATACACATCTGTGTACACACACCTATCTCCCTACCTGAACACTCACCTATACTAACAACACATATCAATTACTTACCTATATCCATGAACACCTATCCATCCATCCTCCCCCCACTCTGTGTGTGTGTGTAATAATTATGTACACATACACATCTGTGTACACACCCTATCTTCCTACCTGTGCACTCACCTATACTAACTCCACATATCTATTACTTACCTACATCCATGAACACGTATCCATTCATCCTCCCTCCCTCCCCCCTGTGTGTGTGTGTAATATTTATG